GCCTTTCGCACACAGTAGGTCGGAGAGCTGTGAGGGGATGTTGATTCCCTCACATGGCCCGCTGCTAAGCGATCGGCAAAGAACTTGTCGATCGCTATCACTTGTTCACGAGGCAGTGGCCACTGCTTCATGACACAGTATTTCGAGCCCGGTTTGAGCTCGATCTCGTGTCGAGTGCCTTTGTCCTTAGGCAACTCGCAAGGTACGGATTCAGGGAACACATCCCTGAATTCGATCAAATCCTTATACAAAGGATTTGCCTGAAGTGACTCCCAGGATTGGGACGCGTATCGCTCAATCCGAGTCTTCTCATCGAGGACACTTTCGTCCATCGATGAGCTGCTGAGAACCCGTTCGTTCTCAGCAAATACTGTTGCCGACCGAATGTCGGTCACATACTCGTCCTCTGTGACGAGTACGCAGATCTGCTTGACTTTGCCACTACGCAGATCACGCAAGAACCGTTTCGGTTCTAGCGTTGGCAACTGAGTTATCTCCGAAGTCAACTTCGGAGGCACAATCAGATCAAGCGTATAAGCGCCTACGCTTGATCCGTCATTAACCAAGACGTTCAACGTCTCGGTTTCTTCCTGGGATCTTGCTTCCACAGGTTGCTGAGGGCCTGATCCCTCAGCAAGCAACTCTTGAGGAACTCCTTCCTCAAGTACGTGGGGACTTATTCCCTCGACGTCTTCCGACTGTGGCTGTGCGACCACAGTCAGGAACCGATCCTCTACGGTCGACTCTCCAGTCGACCTAGGATTTTCATGTTGCCCCTTGGGGGCAACAGATTTCTTTCTTCTAAGATGCTGCCCGCTAGGCATGCATCCATGTCCCGGTCCACTCTACTTATTCGAGTTTTGGACCTTCGGCGCAGCCTGTACTTCTGTACAGCCGCCGGGAGCTTGCTCCACAGTGTAGTGATCAACTACACTGTGACCTTGTGCAGTCGTGCTAACGACCGTACCGCAAGTGAGGCCATCGCACTCACTCGCAGAACATCCACACGCTTGTGGACGCTCCAAGATGTTCATCATATGGCCATCTGATGAACAAGCAGCAGGCATCTTCACGGATCGATGCTGCCAGCTCACCCTTGGCTCGTATTTTCTAAGCCAAGGTAATCCCAGGATGACATCAAATTTGTCATCCAGATCTAGTACGATGAAATCATCATCGTACTGCTCGCCCTCTAACGTGTAGTGGATTCCTACTACACTTTTCTCAACGGTTATCGATGCGCCTGTTGCAAGGCGCACCGTCATTCTCGTGAGGGGAATGTCGCGCTCAACGAACTTGAGCCTACGACCCTCTAGTGACTGGCGACGAACAAAGTTGTTCGACGCCCCACAGTCTACTAGGGCACGAAGCGACAAGTCATTTGTCGCTTCCAACTTCAAGGTGATGAGCGAAACGTCATCACCAGGTGCAGAGACACACAATGATTGTGTATCTGGAGCAACTTTCGTCAAGAGGTTTGCAAATTCTCTTGAGGTTGCTGGATCAGTAGGGCGCTCCGCCCCTACTGACCCCGACCATTTTTTGATGGCCCGTCTCGCTGTTGCGGCTTCGCAACAGCGCTGGACCCACGCCCATTGCCCTTTCTGGCGAATGGTCGTCCATTTCGCTCAGTACTGTTTGGTACTGGGCGCGGAGAACTACACTCGTATGCGTAGTGCCCTAACTTCTGACAGCGATTGCACCTCTGCAATCGCTTGTTGCTTGTAGAGCGAGGTCTCTCGCTCTCAACATAACAGAGGTCCATTGGTTCTGGACCTCCGATCTCTTGTCGTCTCGGTGGACGGTAAGAGTTTGAGCTAGCATGAGCCTGTCTCATGCTAAAGTCTTCCTGTTCCGCGGCTGATATCGCTTCTTCAAGCGTATTCAGCTCAAGGCGGAACAGGTAGCTCCTGACGGGCCCTTCTGCGAGCCCTTGCATGAACACCGTAATCAACGTGTGTTCATGAACTGGGTTTGCAGTTATACTACTCGCAAGGAGTCGTATATGTTGTGCGTAAGCGTGCACATCACGCTTACCCTGCTTGAGTTTCAGGAGCTCTGAACGAGCCCTGAACTCAGCACGTGGCGGCTCAAACGTTTGTCTGAGCCGGGACTTAAGGTCATCTAGCGACCTAAACACATTTGGGTCGCTACTCTCGAGTCCCAGGGACCAAGTTTTGGCACGCCCTGCCAAGTGGGTCGGAGCAAATGTGAGTTTCATTTGCTCATCTTCGACGCGACGAGCCCTTAGGGCTCTGTCGAGTTCGACAAACCATAGTAACAGGGAGTCCTCCGGGACTCCACTGTACTTGGAGATGTCGACTTTCATCACTTCGGGACGACGCGCATGCGCCGTCCCGCCCACAGCAGCATGGAATTGCTGCTGTCTCAACAGCTCCGTCTGTTGAGCACCGAGTTCTCTCAACTGCTCGGCCTGTTGAGAGCCTTGCTGGTGAAGCAAGGCTACTTTCTCCCTCTCGAGAGCAAGTTCATTGTGAATGAACTTGGCGATAGCAGCATGTTGTTGGTCTCTGTCTAGAGACTCCAACATGGTGCTGACGACGAGTTCGCCTACGGTAGAACTCATTCGTTCTACCGCACCCCATTCGATGTCACTCAAATGGGTAAACCCTTCACGCGTGGCGTGAAAGGTGTCTTCTTCATCCAACATGTTCATGTTGGATGATGTGGTCCTTGGAAGGACTACAAAGTGCTACCAGGTGTAACGGGGCACACCCTTGCGTAACTTAACGCAAGGGATTTGGGTGCCCCGACGGACGTACACGTGGCGAGCGAGGAAGCGTAGGTAGGGTAAAAGTAGAACTGTTATATTAATAAATTAAGTCTTTAAACTACTGTCTCTTCGTTTGACTTAATTCAATTATACTAATATAACTGCATGTATGGTGACGCCTCGTCACCACTCATTGCGCGCGTCTTGCGGCGATTGGTGGGTTGATATCATCACGATATCAACCAATGAACAGACCCTTTGGTCGACCCTTCAATATCACCACTTTGGTGATATTGTTTTAAAGAATATCCATCTTATATTCTTTATTGTCACTTTCCTTAAGTGACAATATCATGTAACGGGCTGCCCCGTTACAGATAGGGTATGCCCAACTAGACAATAAGTTGTCAAGTAATGGCTTCCAGTAGACTCGGAGGTAGCAGAAGAGTTTGCGAGCAAAGGACCGGTTTACATTCCCTTTGCAATGTACAATCAAGTGTCCGACTGCCTTTTCGTTTGTGTCGAGGTCGTGCCTGTTGGTATCGGTCGCACGTGCTAGCCGCAATCCGAGCGACGTGTCGCTTCATGCATCCACAGGCTGGACGGTGCGCATGCTGCTGGACTAACGAGATGCATTGCTGCTGGACTAACGAGATGCATTGCTGCTGGACTAATGAGATGCATTGCTGAGTATGACGTGACTTGAGTGCCGTGTGATTCGGGGCAATCACACGGCACGACCATTGCTCATTCGTGTAGACTGCTTACTCACCGATCGTAAATTCCTTGTTTCGATAGTGCTCGCATCACGTGTTTTGCATCATTCATTCGCTGTAACGTTAGTATGGCGACTTAGCGATCGTCTATGCGTCGTTCCTAAGGTGATATGGCTCGAAAGAACGAGTCTCGCGTGCACCGTGCTCCGTCTACCTGTACCTGTTGCAGCTGTGCTGGTCAAGACAATCAACTGCTCGACGCTCTCCATATCAATGAGGCACCCAGCGTCAACCTTTTGCGTCAGTGCTCATCCACGAACAACACTACAACACGCACACTGGAAGGTGCTGGCTTCACACCCATCTCTTGCATGGCAGGTACTGACTGACCTCCTTTCGTTTGTTGACAAGCAGTGCTCCCTCCCGCGCACAAGCTGCCGTGGACAGCGCTTCCCGATCGGGTTGTTCGCTCTGTCTTGCACGGTCGACTCCAAGGACACAATGTACTGCTAGGCAACGTGCCCGGGTCGGCCATCGCAACGCGATCATCTTCAAATCCGTCGCCATCCCGTGCGGTAGGCCCGTGATATTGGCAACAGCTGCACCCGAGTGTAGCCCACCATGCGATCTTCTGTCCAGCACGGTCGCGGCACTCGCCATGCCAGCATTCTTGCAAGTCGTAGGGTGGATGAGCACGGTGCAAGTGGCAACATCTGCAGCTTTACGTGGCTCTGCGTATTGTTGTCCGACAGGGTGGCATGAACGCAACGATGGTGACGCAATGTCTGGTAAAGCGGTGGTGGCCATCTGCAGTGGACCCGCAGCACTTGTTATCCATTCGCACCACAGACATCTCATGGTGCCCACTATCGCGTGTGGCTCCTCGCAGCCGTCCACCACACGGGTGGAAGCGGTCGACGCTCGTGCCATCAGGTGCACCAGCCTAAAACACAGAGCCAAACCTGTCCTCGACCACGAGGCGACGACTGCGACACAGCATGAGCAGCGACCTACCTACCTGCCCTAGCGCCTGGGCAACCCACAATCTGGAAAGTCTGCGCGCAACACATGTAAACCAGTTCGATAGCCTGACGAGAGCGCTACATGCCGAGGAGACAGATTGTGGCGGCCCCTATAGGAGAGAAGGCGTGTGTTTGCTGCAAGCTGAAGACCAGCGAAGCACGTGTGCCGTTCTGACAACAAGACGCTTCTTCCCCAGCTCAAGACCACTTCGGGCCTCGCAGGTCGGGCTTGTCCACGCATCCTTCCAGTTCCCATAGTTACCACTAGCACTGGTTGACATGTCCAACCTACATGCCATCTGCCCATCGTTCCTTCCTCAGTAGCAGATGGACGTGACGATCGAGCGACGCCCAACAGCGCATGCACGTGGGTAAAGTCGAGCGGGTTGACTGGCGCAGCTGGCTACGAACCTCTCGACAGCACGTTTCGATCAACGGCAGCAGCAGCAGCAGCACCACTGCTCTCACTCTGCCTCCTGCCAGCGACCACACACGTGCACTCTTCTGTCACCGCTCTGCTCGCCCGTCATGGTCGCGTTTCGTCAATCGGCCATTGCCACGGCGTTGTTTGCTCTGGGGCTGTCGACAACGGTCGACGTCGCGCAGGCCGAAGAGCTCTGCTCGATCCCTCCGCAGTCCTTTGCCCAAGCCAAGACCGACTACCCGGACCTCGCTTTCGCCATCGATGCCGTCGAGGAGTACTCCATTGCGGCGTGGTACACAGACCGCCTGTCGCCAGCCGACCGCGCCAGGATGCGCAAGGACATGACGACCAAATGCTCCGAGGACGCGCGCATGACGTTCGTCGTGTACGGCATTCCCAACAAAGACTGCAATGCGGGCTTCTCGTCCAGTGGGTCCGTGAAGAACGCGGCCGACTACGTCAAGTTTTTGTCGGAACTGACGACTGCGGTCGGCGACCGAAAGGTGCTGTATGTGGTCGAACCTGACTCCGTGGGGCTACTCGCTGAAGACAATGGATGCGGTGTGGGCGCTGGTTACCTCGAGAACCTCAAGGTCGCCGTGAAGGCGCTCTCCGCGAACAAGAACGCCGAGCTGTACGTGGACGTTGGCTACTGGACGCTCGAGAATGACGCGCAGTTGAAGAACGTCGTGGCGGCCATGAAAGAGCTGGTCGCCGAGGCAAAGCTCAAGGGCATTGCGATCAACACGTCCAACTACCGCTCGAATGGGCAGATGGAGAAACTGTGCACCAAGTTCCAGACAGCTATGGGCTCCGCAAAGATGACGTGCATTATCGACACGTCGCGCAACTTCAACGAGCCCAGCACGACGGACTGGTGCAACGTCAAGGAGGGTGGCATCGGATACCCGCCGACGTCGGAAACCAACATCACCAGCATCGACTACTTCATGTGGCTCAAGGTTGCGGGCGAGAGCGACGGCACGTGTTTAGGCGGTCCCGACGCCGGCAAGTTCTTTGAGGGGGGCTTCAAGTTCCTGTGGGACCAAGGGTACCTCGTCAAGGAGCTCGGCATGAACACGATCGCCGATGGAGGGACTGTGTCGCAGTCTTCGGAAGCTGGTGATCCCCCTTCGCCCGAAACGACCGAGGACGGCAGTGTGACCGACGCCCCGGACACGAGTTCCTCCGACAAGGCCGAGGAAGAGGATCAGACGCAAGACGAAAGCTCGCCCGAAGTAACTACTCCGACATCCGGCAGCATCGAGGTCGGGGCCGAGGTCGAGGCTGAAACGGAGACCGAGACCCCGACCGAGACCCCGACTGAGACTGGGGCTGAAACGGAGACCGAGATCGAGACTGGGAGTTTATCGTTGGAGACCGTTGAGCAGAGTCCAACTCAAGAGTCTGAAGCCGCCACGACCCCATCTCTTGAAGAGAGCCCTCTCAAGACCAGCAAGTGCGTGGTAAAAAGCCGAATGCGCAAGTAGTTTGCGCTACGTGTTTCGAGGGTATCGTCCTCGACCTGATGCCGAGTGCTGGTTGTGGCTGATCGCTCGGGCTTCAGACTCCGTCAACTTGTAACCCAAAGCAACAAACTCTATTCAACACATTCGCAGTGTGGCAGAAGTGGCTCGACTTGTTTGCAAAACGTGTTTGTACAGAACAGAAACTCGGACAGGATACAGACAATGCCTGAAGAACGAAGTGCTCCTTCGTGTGCGACCCCTTTGACGACGCGGTCCGTGCTCTTGCAACATCGCCAGGCAATTTTCATACTTGTTCTACTTACACGCAGTAGTGTCTTTGTATCCCACGAGTGGAAGACGTTTCAGTCACAGCTCAAGCTCCACGAGCGAGTAGCGGTGGACTCGCCTCGCAATGGATCGCTCAACGTTTGACATTGTCACCTACTTGTCGGTCATGCAATCCTTGCGGCCACCGCCTCAGTAGCTCTTTTCCTGATCAAAGACAGGTCGACTACGACTGCACATGAGGCATTGAAAAAGAGAGAGCCACAAGCTCAGCGAAAAGAGGTCGCTCCACTGCTGCCTGACACTGACGTTTCCCAATAATTACCGGCATCGCTCTGCATGTGCTGTCTACAAAAGGTACGAGTCTGGCGCAACGAGAGCTGGTTGAGGTCGAAAGTTGACCATTGTTGTTGGCAGAGGGGCTAAAGCTGACAGCTCTCGCGTCTTGCTCTCGCTCAGCATCCTCGACTGGTGCCGACGGACGTATACAACGGCGGCAAGCACTACCACTGCAGCAGCTACAACAGCGAGCACGACGACCACGCTACTTCCTGCTGTTGAGCTGCTTGAACTCTCGTTTGAGATCTGATGGCTGTCGGCCAATCGTGACGCTGTCGTCGGTGGAGACGGCGACGACGGCGACGACGACGACACTTCCTCCGCCTTCAACCGGCTTTCCTTCGACTTGATAGCAGTACCGCTGGCATCGAAGGTCGACGAGATGGCCGAAGCTGAGCTGCCTCCTTTCTCGACCGCAAAGGCCGATTTCGTCCGCACTGGTGTCCCATTGGGCTTGCCAGTCGCCTGCTCCTGGTCGTCTGGATCCTCCTGCTCGTGCTCGTGCTGCTCCGGTCCCTCTTCGTCGCGTCCCAAGGACGTACTATTCCGAGTCGTGACGCCGTGCACCGTACCGTCAATGACAGGGTACCCCTTTTCAGCGACCAGAATGCCCTGGTTCCACAGCAACTGGAACAAGTCGTCGGAAAAGGTGCCGGCGCCAGGTCCGTGCATCGAGTCGGACGTGCGCCCGTCACACGTGCCATCACTAGCGCCCGGTGGCTTGACCCAAACGAGGTAGTCGACGTTGCTCAGACCCGTCTTCTTCGTCGGCAGCGCCCCAATCCCTGCGCTCTTGACGTTGCACCACTCGTGCGACGCAGGGCCGCCGTGGTAATTGCGGGACGTGTCAAAGATGCAGTGCAGATCCGTCGAGCCAATAGCTGTCTGAAAAGCCGTGCACAGCGTCGCTAACGTGCTCGTGGACTGGTAGTTGGACGTGTTGAGCACAATGCCCTTCACTCGATTCGTCATGGCCGCGAGCTGCTTCACAGTCTCCACTACGACCGTCGACTTGGCAGCGTCCTGGAGCGTCCAGTAGCCCACGTCCAAGTAGATCTCTGCGTTCTCGTTGGTCGACGCCAACAGCCCAATGGCCGTCTGCAGGTTCGCGACGTACCCCGCGCGTTGGCCGCACTTGGAGCTGTCGGCGAGCAGCGCAATGGCGTCGGGCTCGAGAATGTACTGCACCTTCCGCTCGCCGATCGCCGTGGCGAGCGTCGTGACGAACGCGACGTAGTCGGCCGCAGAGTTCACTGAGCCGCCACCAGTGGACTCTCTGGCCGCACAGTCCTTCTCCGGCAGTCCGTAGACGACGACACTGATCCGCGACGTCAGTGGACAGGCGGCCACGAGGTCCGTCGCGAGCTGCGCGTAGTCGCCGTCCACGAAGCGGTCCGAGTACCACGTGGCAACGCTGTGCGCCTCGAGCGCTTCGATGGCAAAGGCGGACGCCGGGTACGCCACTTTGGCCCGCGCGTACGCCTCGGGCGGCAGCGAACACAACGTCTCTGCTGCCCCAGTTCGGTGACCGATTGTCACGTCGGTCAGCTGCCCGACGAACGAGAGGCCCCACAAAGCTGTGCGAACGGAGCGCAGCCGCATGCGCGCGTAGTCAATGGGAAGTAGTCAATGGGAAGTAGCAGTCAATAGGAAGTGTGATCCACACGCGCGACGGCAGCGCGGGACGCCGGCAGACAATTCACGAGTGCCCCATTGGCGTCTGGGCGGACGGACCGGAGACCGCGCAGCAGGTGTGCCCCATCGCAGCGTCCGATCTTGGCCAATCGAGAGCGACCCGACACGACGCGCGCCCAGATCGCTCCGGTCGCGGCTGCCCCGCGCGCTCGCGGCGGTGCACGACTTGCGGGTTCCGTCGGACCGCCGGCCGCTGTGTGTCGAAAACGTCGTCTTCGGAGCGACAGACGACGTGGTGGTCGACCGCCTTCCGCCAGTTGGGTGCGAGTGTCTCTCTCTCGCTTTCGTCTCTCGTCGTGTGCACTGTGGGGAGGCACGGGACCGGATGGGGCGCCTCACGCCCCGCCCCACTCCGCGCGTTTGTCCGTCCGTCCGTCTGTCGCTTTCGACTCACTCACTCGCTCGCTCGTCTCTCGTCTCTCGTCAGTCGTTGTTGAGGCTCCGTGTTCAACGACACCGCGTGGTGCTACGCGACACTTGGGATGGGGGAAGAGCGGCGCGCGTGCTTTGCTCGGCGCGTCGAGACACAGAACGGCGCGAAAGGCCTCGCGCGGCGTGACGCAGACACGGGCAGGCGCACCGGCTGTCGCGACGACATTGACGGGCGAGAACGGGCGGGAGGACGCTGTCGTTTTTCGACCCACCGGTCGGAACCGATCGACACTGATGGAAGTAACCGACACCAACGACAACAACGACACTAACAACGGCGACAACGACACTAACAACGGCGACAATAAGAGAGACGCGTGTGTAAAAGTAAACAGCTACGTGCATTTTCAGGCTCTTGGGCGCCGCTTGCTGACCCGATCCAATGCGATCACGGGCAAAAGAGCGCTCACTTCCTCCATCGCTTTCTCACGAGCTGAGCTGAGCTGAGCTGAGTTGAGCAACCAAATGTCCACTGCGTCGAGTACCGGAGACGACGACCGACGGACCGACGAACCGATCGACCGACTCGGCCTCTTCTCCTCATACATCAAAAAGCCGCAGACACTGACAGCGCGACATCGCACGACTTCGAGTCGATCACCTCCTCGTTCCTTCCTTCCTTTCTTCCTCCCTCCCTCCATTCCCACTCTCTTCCTCCGTCCGTCTTCCTCCTCATAGGATCGTACTGCCGCCATCCGGCGTGCGTCTAATCTCAATGTGAATGTTCTCGTGGTCGCTCGGGGTCGCGAGCGCTGCGTCGGCGTCGCGCGCTTTCTTCACTTGGGACACGGCCACACCCACCACAGCTACCGCTGCGACGACACCAGCGATCATGAGACCGGCCGAGCCCGAGAACGAACTGCCACTGCTCGTGTCGCTCGACTGCGTCTTGACGAGTTGCGCCGCTTCGTCCTCCTGCAGCTGCTGCGTTGCAAGACCCGTTTTGGCACTCGGGTGCTCCGACGCGTTCAATGGCAATGGGGCGGGGGCAACCGGGGGAGACGGAGGGACCACAGGCGGCGTCACCACTGGCTGCGGCGTCGGCCCCGCGGCACTCACAGCAGACGTCGGAGCCACAGTGGGCTCTACAGTCTCCTTCGCCTTCTCAGTCTCCTTCGCCTTCTCAGTCTCCTTCGCCTTCTCAGTCTCCTTCGCCTTCTCAGCCTCTGTCTCCTTTGCCTTCTCAGCCTCTGTCTCCTTCTCCTTCTTCTCGTCTTCTGTGTCCTTCTTTTCAGGTGGGAAGTTTGGCACGCAGTCGGTCGGGTGCGAGCTCTTGTTCCTTGACGGGTTTCCTACCCCTGGAGAAGGAGCGAGCGGCGGATACTTCTCCGCGTTGGCCGTCGCGTACGCGTTGGCGTGGCCGCCGTCAGTGGTCGGCGTATCCGCAGTCAACGGGGGCAAAGCCGCGACTACGTCGTGGGGGAGTACGGCCACGAACACAGCCGTGCAGACCGCAGCACACGTGCGGAACATCTTTGCTGCCGACGTCCTTTTCAAGTCTGTGGCCGTTGGGGAGAGGTCCTCGTGCTACTGCTCCTGCGCCAGCAGGTGGTTCCACCCCACCCGGAGCCAGCGCAGGCCGAGATCGAGTCGCAGGCTCTGCAAGTTCAGGCGGGTTGGGGATAAGGCCGTCTTTCGCTGCGAGAAGGGACTCGCGTTGCGCGATGCGACGACTGTCGCCGGTCGTGACGCACTGAACCCCTGCGACTCACTGCCGGCACAGATGCGACGGCCTTCGCGTCGCTATTTCTTCAACAGAGAGAGAGAGAGCGTTCGATCTGAGCAAAAGGAGAGCGAGCGACTTCGAGCCGGTGAGAGTCAGCAGAACACATCGAAGGCGGCGCGTGCGTTCGAAGCTTGTGGCAGTGGACCTGCGCGGTGGTGCTGGCGGACGTCGAATGCGTTTGGTCCGTCTCGTGGGTCGACCGACGGACGCCCACACTTTGGACCGCTACTTTTTGTCCAAGTTCCAGAGAGTGGGAAGTTGCTATCGAGTTGCGATCCGTCGGGCGAGTCGCGCTGCTGTCCACACGGTGACGTTCAACGAGCGCCCGTGTCGTCTCCTTGAGACCGGCAAAGCTCTTTGCACGCCACGCGCAACGAGTTTACGATCGAGTCAACGACGTGCTTATCACCGCTGAAAAATTCCTTTGTTTGTTCATTTATTGACTCAATCGATCGTTCGTTCCGGGAGGCTGTTGCTGGCCATGTGTGCTTACCATGCGACCTGTTGGTCCATCTACTCGTTGTTACTCGCTGCGCGGCGGTTCCCTTTTGTTCGTCAACGTGGGCGTCGGTGGTTTCGGTATCCTGCGACAGCTGACTGACTGACTGATGGACTGACTTGTTGACTGACTGAGTGACTGACTGACTGGCTCGCTGGTGGTGGTGGTGGTGGCGCATGACCAGGCGCGCTGAGACATAAACATTGGTCGCCCAGTCGTGATCGCACAGACCCGACTGACACGCACATGTCGCACTTGTCGTCAGTAGACAAACGCTTGGAGCGACTTCATCGCTTGCGCTGTCTCGTCAGCATCAGAGTGATGGGGTAAATAGACGCAAAAAGGTTTCAGTGACAGTAGCAGCAGCAGTAGTAGTAGTAGAAGTAGTAGTAGCAGTAGTGGAAGGCGGCCGCCGTGATGGCCATTCGTATGCAGCGAGAGAGACACGTGTCTATCTTCTTTTGCTTGTAGGGCCATTGTGTTCGCCGAGCGATGAGCCAGGCGGGGCTTTCCACTTGGCGGGGCCATGTCTGGAACGTGTGAGCAGATGGGCACGCTTCGCTCGACGTCAAAGAGGTTCCGAGATTGTGTGGCTCATTATCAGGGCACGGCCACGCGCGCGCAGTCGTTGTAATGATGAGGGCATCAGGCGATGTTTTGGCAGAGCTGACTGTTGTCGACGTCGAAGACTGTGGTTTTCGCTCAGTCGAAAGGTCGTGGCCCTCGCGACGGATTCGCGCAGATGGTCCACGCGTGTTATACTTGTTCTGGGCCTCCTGGACACGACACATGCAGCTCAGTATGTATGCCATGGGACGAAGAGCGGGACGTGCGTTCATCACCGTGAGCTCGTCACGCACCTCCGTCTAAAGAGAGCAGTTGTCGGGCTGGCGTGCGGACCTCGCGTCAGAGCAGGGACTTCATGGCTTCGAATGTATTGTTGTCGTCGTCGAGTGTGGAGCGTATGGCGCGGCCACGTCGACACACGCGATTTCGTGATCATGATATGAGGCGTCCACATGTTCTCGATGCCGTGCGTATCGCTGACGCTCGCAACAGGTGCTGACGCTGTGGCCCGTGCGACAGTGCGTCAGGAAATGGCTCTCTTCCGGTGCTTTGCTCGATGGCGAGCAACGATTCGAACGTGTGGTCACAGCGTTTCGTCCACTTCTGACAGATTGCCGCCGCCACTCTGTCGTGTCTACCAGCCGGACGTTTATCGCATTGACTGAATGGCATCGCTCTTGGCCACCCTATCGTGCGAAGAAGGCCATCGACAGATGACGGATGCGAGCACAAGGACTCTCACGACACTGGTATACAGGACATTTGGACGACGAAAAAGCGTGTGACCGATGGTAGTCAGGTCGTTCATCGACTCTGGAACGGGTGAGGTGGCTATGGTGGTCCGTCGGTCGGTCGGTCGGCTAACGGCACGAGCGATCAAGAAACGCTTTTCCGGACCGTATGACAATCCTACCACCGGATGGCTTTGCACAAAAAGCAAAAACACTTTGCCGACCACGTGACTACTCCAAAGCAGCTTCTTTCTCAATGAGGTCAGGCGCTCAATTGACCGGTTGCTCCTGTTTTACAACCGGCAAATACACACCAAAGGAATGAAGATTTGCCGTCGTGCGCGTGTTCAGATGGTTGACACGATGGCTGGTGCAGCTACGACCACAGCCAGGCAGTGCATGTCATCATGCAAGCATATGGACACTAGCGCAGCACTATCTTGTAGCGCGCACTTCTTGTGTGGCGCTGCAGCGAGAACAGGCGCATTACACATTGGCTTGCGAAGAACCCATCGATAGGCTGCGGCGATAGCCACGGGTCGACGTCGAATGCCGCGTCTACCCCGTCCTCTTCTGCACATTGAGGCGTGTCTAGCGGCTCTCTTCGCGCAATGCGAACGCCAAAGCTCATCACTGTCGACTTTGTCTTCCTGTCGATCAATAGCCTTTGACAATGCCGTAAGTAGTTGCGTCATCAGCGTGAAGGTCTCTTCCAGTTGTGGAACATCGGCAGTGCTTTGCGAACGGTAGCAACCGACCAAAGATGGCCAAAAAAACAGGCGCGTCGAGCCGTGGTCCGATCGTCGCGACTCCGAGTAGAGGCAGTGTAGATGATCACATTCCTTCAAGCACTCGCCGTGTCGCTTCTGCCATGTCGCACGCAGGCATCTTCATCGACATGCAGCTCGGACGGGTGTTTTGGTGCGTCTTGCCGAGTCACATTGAGCTTCACGACCATGTTGAAGATTCTCAGCAGCTGAGGTGTACGAGCTGAAGGCGACGATGCGCTCTGAAGGCTCTAGTCGCAGTTGTCGAAATGATGCATGCTTGCTTCACAACGAACCGTATCGGGGCGGGCTAGCGCGTTCTTTACATGTTCACTTGGCTTCGGGTAAGATCGACTAAGAGGTTGAGTTGCTCGTGTTCGTTTGATTACTAAGGACGGGGTCAAGAGGTCAATTACCAGAGTCACATGTACCTCGTTGCATTGGTCGTCACGTCGATAGCGTCGATACGTCGTTGTGTTAAGGCATTCAGCTATCGTCACGCACGTCTCATGTTCTCGCGATAGCTTCGAGAGATGAAGTGGCGTGACAGTTGATGGAAGCGTTTGCTGCACTCGACACGTGATGGCACCGAAGCTTTCAGCACAACTCTCCGGTCGCCGATTTTCGTTCGGTGGGTGATCTTGCGGAGGCTGCGAAAGCAAAGACGTGATGCTTTTGCGAGAGCACCATCTACCGCAAGGTACAAATCAGCGCTTTGGCTGTGCCCACTTTGTTACAAGAAGAGGTTTGCGTGACGAGAGTCTCGCATCATGCGTGACCTTCTTCAACGTGACACTGTTCGGTCTGCATGCACGGCACGTACCCATAGAGTAGAAGAGGGTGTCAGTATCGACAGCTCCCACTGACCGTCACACACTGAGATGACACGCGGCTGTCAAAAATCCGTCGACAAGTCGGCAGGTGGCGAGTTCAGTTTGCACGACACCTCTTTCGTATGAGGGCGGCATGCGTGACATACGTTGGACCGGAACCTCGTACAGCACCAGAATTTGACGAGCGACGTGGTGTTTGTCGAGTCGAACTTTGGTCTGAACAAGTCCATCGCACTTTGACCCGTGCGGCATTCCCTCGGTGCGATCATTAGTACCAGCTCAGCCACTTTCGCCCTTCAAGCTTTCTGGTCTCCAGCACTGCCACGTGCGCGCACTCTACAGGAACAGGTCGCATGAACGAAGTGAAGTCTTTTTGGCCTACGGACGCAACTGATCTGCGTCAAGAAAAGCTTACCTCGGAGTTGAGCTTACAACGAAAGTCGACCGTCGCCAGCCGCTCCCCATTGTATGACTTGCCGGACCTTTGCGGCTGCGATGACTTTTGCACCACACGCCGCTCGTGGGAGTTCAGATGGCGGCTTGAAGTCGATGTGCTGCATTGCTGCAAGTGGATCTCGCTGAATGGTCGTTTGTCACCACATGCGATACCCTGCGCCGACAGAAGTGCTCAAGCTGCCCCCGTCACCTTGTCACCGTCTCTCTTTTCAGCGTCAATGCATCATATGAGCTATTGGGACTTTGCTTACTCATACGGGCCTACCGTTCTTCTTAGCAAGCATGTCCTGTCGAGCGGCGAGCAGACTCTTGTGCTACACAAATCGTGCTGTGTCAATAGTGTCTCAAGGCGAGTCTCACTCTGATCGGTTCTACTCGACCTCTTCAGCTCGAACGGCTGTGCTATTCCATAGCGGTGAGAACGGACCTGTGTCTCCTCGCAGCACAGACAAATCGCATTCTCACCTGCTTTTGCTTTCGCTGATGTTTGACAGGGCCTGAGTGCGAAGAACCAGTGCGAGCTCGTTAGGCAAACGACCAGTCGCTCCTGAGACCGTTAGGCACCCACAACACACAAAGCACGAACGTACATCGTTTGCTGCCACTTGCTTGTTGGCACGCTTCCCAGGCAGACGCAAGACGGTCTTACCCGTCTCAATTGTGAGCCCTCGTCCGTTTTGCAATTGAGCCACACTAGCTCAACGCTCTTGCGGCGGTACTATAAACGTCTCACTGGGCAATGTGACAATGTATCACCGCACGAGTCTGCGCACAATGCAAACATGTGTTGCGACTACATCTCACGGTCTTCAGGTCTCGCTACAACCAGAGTTGGCCTCAATATACATAAGGTGGTGTGCTCCGAGATGTGCTTCTTCGAAACATGCACGTAGCTCCTCGGGATTACTACAAGGTCAGCCGCAGTGCCGACGAGGCCTTTTCTGCTTGCCAGCGTCTTAGTCTACCTCGTCTACAGCAAAGTGCGCTAGTGGCACAGTACTAACTGGAGATGTAGATGGCTCAGCCTAGTGGCTGGGTCATCTCTCGTCACGTCGAGACCTATGCAAGGTGTGATGTACGCCATTGTCGAGTCGAGACTGGACATGTATGGTCCGGTATGCTCCTTCTCGTAGCACACCTGTCATCCACTCATTGGATGCTGCGGCGTAGACACAAGATTCGACTCAACGCGGACGATGAGCGTATCCAAAGAGCATGTCCTGCAGGAAGATCCGCCACGGAACAAGTCTGCAGTGCGTCTCGACGTGCGGGAACTTGTTTGCTGGAGGATCAGCAGATAGCAAGTTGGACGTAGCAAGTCGCCTTTACGCTGCAAATTACGCTCGATCGACGGATCGATCGTCGGTCATCCGCTCGTATGAGCTGGGGGCCTGTAGAGGTGTGCAAAGAAGCACAACCGACACATACGTAACAAACGCTGTCCAAAGTCACGGTCAGACGTTCTCCTTGAGTCCAGTGAGCGTGAGTTTCGTGTACGTGAGACGATGACGATTTGCGGATGAAATGGAGACCAAAAGGAAGGGCATTGCGTTGCGAGGTCCTGTCTTCGTGACTGCTGCTGCTGCCTCGCAGCCCAAAGGCCTAGTCGACCTGTTTTTTCCATCTTTGGCAGCCTGTTCCATGTTTGGGCCGTTATTCCTCCCGATGTCCGTTCGCATTGAAGCGCTGGCGAAACTCAAACACGAGATCGTGTGTTTCTTCCCAACAATAGATTCGTGAAACGGCACCTGGTCCTTCGTGTCTCTACACCCCAACGACTGACCAGCAGGTGTGTGGCGCGTCTTCTTCTTCGTGTATCGCCTCAAATCCTGTCTCTCTCATCTTACAGCGGGCAACATCATCCTCGATGCATCGTGCAGCTTCCTCCAGCAGCGAACAGTGTCGCCTCGAAACACCAATGCTGCGCCAGGTCAGACGAATCGGTCTCGACGACCCACGTTCTCGATGTCTGCGGCAACAAGCCAAGGCAGATTCCGCCTGATGAACGCGACAAAAGACATGTAAAACTGTCGCGCAAAGTCGAATGGTACGCGGTCTGGTCTGCGACATCGTTTGGAAGATCAGTGGTACGCTTTGTTAGTCAGGTACTGCAAGTGCAGAAGAGCACCAGCGAGTTTCGCTCGAAGTAGTGAACAGCGTCCAAGCTGCTTCCTCGCATGTGTTGTTGTCTGGATACACAAACTGTTCCTGTCGACTCACGAGCTGACAGCAGCGACTCGAGGGAACGCACGTGCATCACATGCTCGAATGGTTCTCACGGTGATCTTCAGGCATACTCGCCTTTGTGCACGTGTTTATGTACCTCATGGGACCTCAAACATGGAGTGGCACTGGATCCCATCTGTCTCGCTATGATTCCGCGTAATTTGCACCTGCGATGCCGTTGATGCGCGTCCATTGTCCTAGAGATCTTTGCGTCGTGGTGAACGTGCTTTGCTTGTGTTCTTGCGCGTTCAATCGGACTGCACAGCGCATGGACGAGATCGGCTCGATTTTCCACTGAACAAATTAGGTGCTACCACGTGCGAATAGGCCGAGACGAAAAAGTCACTCGCAAGTCTCTCGCCACGTACACAAACTAGCGCATGAGCCGTCCGTCACATTGGCGTCAGCGCGAACGCAAGTCGCTACCTGATTGATGCACACCGGATGCAGCTCGCGTGGGCCATGTGTTGAGCATGTCGTGCGCTAAAACAATCGATCTATTCCACGGACTTTCACCACGTCGATTCCAATTGCTTCCGTTGGGATTGGTCGCCCGACGCACCCCACGCGGATACATTCCATCCGACGGGCACAACACATGCGACTCGTATCCGCGTGGCATGTCCAACGCGACGTCAAACGAGCCCCCGCCGTCCACATTTTATCGTCCGATTCGCACTCGCTAGCAGATGGACCGATCAGGTCCGTCGCGTTGCATTTCTCTGCTCGCACTTGGAACGCGTTGTTCATCCACCACGCACTTGGACCATCTCGAGATAAATTTGAAGCGCTTTTCGCAGCGGCCATTGCCGTCCGTTCCAAGCGTGTTGAACAAACGCGTGGCGTCCCACTCCCGAAGCTGCTGTCGTCCCAATGTCAAGTCCACGCGGTTGGCTGTGCCCGAAGCGAAACGCGTCGCCCTGTCTTTGCTGCTGCAAAAGCCGCGGGCGGGCGGGCGGACTGACCCGATTACATACGGTATCATGTCGACACTATGGGTCGGAGCAGCTGGACGAAAGAAAGTCAAGTGGAGCGCGAACGCACCCCATCCAACTCAGAACGCAGCGCGGGTCCCCTTCTTGTCCGACTTCAGCTCCCTCGACCACCGCGGCCGACCCGATCCGATCAGTGCAATTGCGGTCCAACATTCGACCAACGTGACGGCCAGTAGCCACGAAAGAGACGCAAACGTGCCCTCGAAGCGATGTTTGCGCGCACGTCAAGTGGAAAGCTGTCGTCCTAACCCCTCGCAGTTTGCACGGCCCGACAGCTGCTGCCGTAGAAACAGTTGACTCGCGCGGCGTGGGGCCAAACGCGTGGTCCGTCCGGCTCGGCGGTGCCAGCTGGACGGACGCCAATCAATCCCCGTGCGCGCCCACGGCACGTCAACCAGCTGAGCTCGAGGCCGGTGCTACCAACGCTCGATGCTCTGTGGATCGACCAGGGCCGCTCTTCTCCCGTGTAATTGCAGTTGGGACCCGTCGTCTGCCTGCTCGGGCTCATGGAGCGGTCGCGTGGCGCCCACATGCAGCCAAAGCTGTGGCGGCCTCGACGCCCTCTGTCCACAAAAACACCCAACCGCCCACAACGCGGTCGCCCGCCCGCTTCGAGTCGCTGTGCGCCAGTCATTCACGCTCGCGGTCGCCGGCTTTCCGACCGCAGGCAGCAACGGTTCCCGACGCGCGTACGCAAGGGAGAGAGCGCGCGCGCGGGGGCGCACGAGGCGGCCCAGCAGGTGCCGGTCCGCCCCTGCTGCTCTGCGGCGGCACCTGTTTCCCGCCTGGTTCTGCACGCCCCAGCGCTGTCTCCGTCCTCATCTCCCCCCCACTCTCCCCCTCTTCTCGTCGTGTTTCAGTGCGCCCACACAGACGGAGAAACCCTCAGCCGTTGCGCGGCGTTGGGCAGTCGCTGTGCGAGTGGAGACGCCCACAAAATTTCGCCTCGTTTAGTCGTCCCGCTGCTGCCATCGGGCGGGCGGTCGGGCGTTCACGGCGCCTTCTGCTGCGGCTTCTTCCGTCCGTTCCGCAGTCATTCCTCAACTTGCCGGCTCGGGCACAAGCAGTCGCCCGCGTGTCGCCGGTCCGTCCACCCCACAGACGCCTTCGCTCTCCCCGACGTCCCGTCATGCCCGGCCCCTTTGTCGACACGGCGGCCGTCGCGTCCCCCACGACGGCCGCCACGCCGTTCAAAGACCTCGCGGCCGTTCCCCCCGTGCGCGAGGGCCGCTCGCAGTCCCTCACGGCGCTGCCCCGCCGCGCGTCGACCGCCAGTGTGCTCACGGTCGAGAGCAGCAGCAGCAGCGCCTCTGGTTTCCATCAGCAGCAGCAGCTACAGCAGCTGCAACGGCAACAGCGGCAGCAGTTCGAGCAGCAACAGCCCCACGCGCGTCAGACGCGACGCGCACTCAGCTCCGCCACGAGCTCGTCGCTGAGCCTCTTGCAGGAGGAACTCGGCTACCCCCGTCGGGCGCAGGTCACGGCCTATGACGGGCCGACCTTTTCCCGGCGCAGGTCGTTGATCTTCGACACGACAATCGACAACGACAGCCACAGCAACAGCAACAGCAACAACAGTACCAACAGCAACAACAGTACCAACAGCAGCCGCTGCCGTCGTGTCACGCGTTGCCAACAGACCAACAACAAGTCCCCTTCTACTGCTATTACTACTACAACTACTACTACTGCTACTCCTCCTCCTACGGCTTCAAACAGTAGCACTGTTGATAGCAGTAGCAGTAGTAGCAGTAGAAGTAGTAGTAGGAATAGTAGCGATAGCGTTCGTACGACCACCGGCAGCAGCAGCCACACCACAGTCTCTAGTCGTACGCCCCACCGCTCAAGCGACGACGACGTCGTGTCGGTCCTCGACGACAGTCGTCGCCGGTCGTTCGGCGCGGCCGATCCGACCGCCAGCGGCGACGACGACGAGAACTTTATGGACTACCGCCGCGCGTCCGTCACGGGCTACAGCCGCGACACGGACGGCGTCGTGTACTACGAAGTGATCGTCCAGAGCCTCGCGCACGGACCGCTGTCGGCCTACAAAGTGCGCCGGCGGTACTCGGAGTTCCGCGATCTGCACGTGGCCCTGCGGACTGTTATGGCCGTCGCGGCGCTCGCGCGGCTTCGAAGCGACGACCGGAGCGACGACGCCGAAGACGACGCAATAGCGCACGAGTCGAGGGACGCGCCGCCGCTGCCGCCGCTGCCGGACAAAGGCGGCGTGTGGAGTTACCTCCAGTTCGACAGCATTCCGCTGCTGGAGCGCCGCGCGGCGTACTTTGACGCGATGCTGGCGGCGGCCCAGCGGCACCCGCAGGCGCGCGCGAGTCGCCTCGTGAACGACTTTGTCGGGACGCCGCCGGACCTCGTGTCGCTCCACTCGAGCGTCGAGAACAGCTACGTGAGCCTGAACCGCTTTGCGGCGCCCAAGCTGAGCTTTGCCATCGAGATCCAAGAGCGCAAGGAGAAGGCCGAGAGCATTCGGCGGCGACGGAACTCGCTGCAGCGGCAGAGCTTTACGGGGTCGCTCGACGCGAGTTTCCTGAGTCCGTCGCAGTAGCTGCTGCTGCTGCTGCTGCTGCTGGTGGTCGTACCCATTCAGTCAGTCAGTCAGTCAGTCACCCGCCAAAAGGCGAGACACACTCGGACGACGACGACGACGACGAGACGACAGTACCATCTTCTTCATCCACTGTATCCTCCTCATCCACGTCCACCTCATGATTTGTATCGCTTTTCTCGGTTGTACCCATCCGCGCACGCGCTTTGGCAGCGCAGATCTTGAAACCGTTTTGTGGATGTTTTGCCGTCAGGAGTTTGCTCGCAACGGTCGGTCGTTTCAAGTGTGTGTGTGTTTGTGTTTGTTCGTTCGCGAGTCTGTTAGTTAGTTGTTCGATGTTAGGCACTTTTCTGTAAACGAAAGCCAGTTCACCGCGTCCCACGTGATGCTATGGAATTTGGCATACAAAGCGTCAGGTTCGACTGTCTGTCTGTCTGTCTGTCTGTCTGTCTAATGGGCAGCGGCGGCGTCGGACCGGAACCGCTTCGGCCGATCACAGTCGGAAGACGTCGAGGAGAGCGAATGAACAGATACGATAGTCGACAGACCCTCCTCGACCGTCTGTTTGTTCAGCAATCATCACATCGTCTCTCTGTCCACGGACACTTCAGCCACCAGACAGACCACTTTCAGCAATACAAAACGCATCGGAACACACACTCGGCCATCACTTCTCGTCGAGTGCAGGAGCGCCCACTCTGCTCACTCTCACCCACACCCAATCGCACTATTCAGTTACGGCGGCACTATCTTGTACACGTAGTCGGCAATCTCCGGGTCCAAGTACTCGGCCAACTCGTCTCGCGTGACCCACACGTAGTCGCTCGCCTTGTCCTCGTTCAGCGCGACATGGCCAGCCAAGTGCTGCGACTTGTAGAAAAACACCTTCGTACCGTCCACCTCCTCCCTGTCCCTGCTCTCCTTTGCCTCTCTCGTCTCGCCATCCCCATGGAGGTACTTTACGTACCCTATCGGAGCAAACCCCATCGGCACTGTCTTCATCTCGTCGCCCACTGCCTCGTGCACATATCGATGCGCCGCGTCCCGCATCTTCTCGCCCTCGAGCTTCCGTCCGACCGGGAAAAACCACGAAAACCTGACCGCCACACTGTCGTCGTCGTCGTCAATCTTCTTCTCTGTCTCCTTCTGCTTCACCAGCAGAAACACTCGGCCCTTGAGCGCGCGATTCAGCGACTTGCGGTTGTTCGCCGCGTCGTCGGCCGTCTCCCGGGGCGCCAAGTGGAAACCCGCGCCCACCACTTCCTCGTCCACGTCGTCCGCTTCTTCGTTCGGCCACGGGACCTCTTCGGGCCGCACGTGACGCGTTCCCGGCTCGGTGAACCAAAAGTCGTCGTCCAGTCGCTGCGCCTCCCGCAGCGCCTTTTCGTGCTGCAGGACCGCAAAGTCCATCTCCCACTGCGGCACGTCCGGTTGGATCACAGCCAGTCGCTCGACGATAGCGGCGCTCAAGACGCGCCACGTTTTCCCGTCGGCTTTTGGCGGCGACACGAGAAAATTTGTCCGATGGACTTTGGCCCGCGGCGGCTGACGTGGCGGCGTCGGGTGGCGCCGCCGCTCGTCGAGTTTCGCGCGTTGGCGCCATGTGATGCGCTTAGTGGACTTGCGCTTGGAAGCGAAGAGGCGGACGGGCGGAGCAGAGAGAGAGGGGGCGGCGAGCGGGAGGCGGCGGAGCGCAAACATGTGGAGGAAGCGGCGGATGTAGTGGGTACGCAATTGGTGGTGCAGGTGGAGGCGGGTGAGTAGCTAAAGGCGGGCGGTATACCGGTTTGTGGACGATATGTGCACGACGAGCGAGTGGGGGGGGAGAGGGGTGCGGCTTGGCTGGAATATGGGTCTGTATAACGGAAGGAGGTTCGAGCGGATGGGTACGTTATGTGTTTGGTTTATGTCGATTTGTGTCGGACCCGCGTGGAAAGTAGGACTTAGCAGACTCTGCGATTGGGCGGAAGGGGACGTGGAGGAAGTTCGTTTGTACGGTCGGATATAACGGATAAGATTGGCGAACGTTCCGCCTGACAAGTAGTGGTCTTTTCTGGGATTGACGCTGTTTTCCTTTCTTCTGTATCGATGCGGTTTCGAGTTCGTGACCGAGAAAAGTTCTGTCTGTAAGGCAACAGTAGTCATTTGAAAAATGGCAGTTTGTGGACCCACTCTTTGCTCTTCAGACCATGTCCGTCAGGAAAGCTCAGCCGTTGCTACAATTTGGTTTCTCTGTGCGTTGCAGCGGCTATGAATAGTAATTGGCTTCTCACAGGTACATTGTTAGGTACGTGAGAACTATACATGTGTGACGGTGATTGCTGCAAACTGGAGCAATTGAAGTAATGTCGCGATGTTAGGCTCTCGTTCTGGTCGTGTTCCTGTCGACACCAGAGATCACATGTTGAAGTCACCTAGAGCGTGGAAAACTCATGACTTCGTTGTCGATGGATAGCAAGTCATTGAACACATTGACCAACTGACTTTTTCATATTATTTTGTAGCCTCGAAATTGTCCTGCTACTATCAGGTACTATGACCGCCGTGTTGCTACAAGCGCCACTACAATGAGGCTACTACGAAAGTCTGTCGATAGAGTTGAGTCGTCCATCTTAAACTGTGATGTAGAGACCTGTCATGTTGTAATTGTCAACGAAAGTGGTCGATCAATAAGGTCATGAGGCATAAGACGGAAGAGTCCTGAGACCCCTTCCTTGTCCATGCGCAACATGGCTTTCCTACAGCAACATCAGCTCTGCATAAACACGTGAACATATCGAAACCAAATCGAGAGGCGATAGCCACTTGTAAGCCTGATCAGAGGCGAATTTGATTATGCTATTGAGTCCATAAACATCATGCTGCTGGAAAGATAGGTACGACCATTATGCATCTAGTCACGCGGTCTGCAGCCAGCAAACTGTAAACCGCACAAGATGTCAATAAATGTCGCGAGCTTTGACCGAGTCAAACTTCTTTATTGAACAGTGGGTGGTTGCATCTACCGGGAACCTTAGCGCCAGCTTCGGAGTGTTCATACCCAGCGATGGCAACGATGTTGCGTCGGGCGTCAGACGCGGCAGATCGGGCAATGGCCGGTGCGCTACGACGATCTTTTACGGCTTTTGTCCATGCATCGATGTCGACGCGGTCTTTTGCATGGAACAGTAGACGATGGCGTGTTGCCAGAGCCAACACGCCTTCGACTATAGTTGCCGCCCATGCAACATTCACTTTGCTAGACAATGTGCGCAACAGTGGCATCAGCTCCGTATGCAGTCGCTGCGCCAGGTCACTTTCATCGTGACCTTTTTCCCTGTCAACCATTTCGTCGAATCGAAGCTGCACGGCCTTGGCAGCTTTGTTGAACTGATACGTTTCGTCCGTGCACAGCTCGTTGTGTGTAACGACCGAGAACTTCCACGCGTCTAGTTTTCGCTCGCGCTTTTTCCGCTCCATGTCGTCTCGGACGTCCAAAACCACGTCGCGCTTTGTCTCGAGTGTGTCCACAAGTGTGTGCAACTCTTTCCACTCTGTCTTGCAGCTCAGCGTCTCGCGCTTTACGTCCATTACCGTCGTCAAAGTCTGTAGAAAGAGCGCACTATACTCGACAGTCAAGTGGTCGACAATGAACTGGCTGAACAACGCACTGGCTTTGGCAAATGTCTTGTCGAGCAGCTACATAGACACAAACACACACGCATGTGATATGAGTCTACGACATCAATAAAAGCAGAGCAAATGGGGTCAAATGGACACAAATGACAAAACGTTTGCACGTTTTAACAATATAAACAGATGAAAAAACTACGAATGAACGAAACCCAATCATCTCTTCGGGGGTTTTCTGGCTAGAAAACCGAATAAACGCACTTATAACAGCAATGTTACGAATCTGACGCGACGCACCAAATGTTTTTCGAGTTTTGTCATCGTGTCCGAAACGCTCCGGGCTTTCTTTGCACGCCGCGGCCGCTTCGCAGGTGCCCTGAGCTCCGTTGCCGTCGTCGGATGGTCGTCTACTTGGTCGTGGTCGCCATTCTCTGCCCCCGTCTCGTCTTTTTGCTGACGCTTTGTTTGTAAGGGGATGTCTAAGCCGCTGTACAAGTCGTCGCTGCCGGGTACATCCATGTTGTCGTTCTGTGTCGTTTGGTCCGAGTCTGTTGTAATGTAGCCTTTTTACAAACGCTTATTGTAAAATCGCTTTTATTAAGTGTATGGGCTGGAAGTGGTTGCGCAAACCGATAAACCATTTTATCCGATAGAACGTAAGAAGTGGCGAGGTCGAGATATTAAATTAGTATCAATATATCACCGGCAGTAAAACTAATGTTTGGATAGGTATAGTACTAGTTATAGTCCGACTGTTTTGCCTTTTTGTACAACACGTATTATTGATCTTGATATTCAGTTGAACCATTCATTTACTTTTACAGTCGTCCCTCCATGTAGCAGACCAAATGTGCAGCGTGTTTACCTCGTTTCTTGTATGACCTCTCTCATGTGGAGGGTCAATCTGAACCCATTCTAAGAAATGCATCCACGGTACACTGAGTCTTTGCATCGAGCACTGCTTCTAACGTGCTCAATGATACTTACCAGCTTCTTCGTCAATTTGTCATTGTCGTGCTGTAGCGAAAGAAAGGGTGAAAGGCGAAGACGGCATGCTAGAGCCTCGGATGGCCTAATCGTCACCTCATCGGCACTGTCACCCTCACTGTCATCCTTAACCAGCTCACGCTCTATTGTTTCTGAGTCGCAATCGATCGGCTCGTCCTCATACGCACTGATGTACTCGTCGACACTGATGCCGCAAGTCAAACCCTCCATGAGCTTGGTCAGCTGGTCTTCAACAGATCGATCAATGCGTTTTTTGTCGTCGCGTAGTTGAGTGAGATCGTCCAATTTCACCACCTCCACGATGTCACAATTGCCCAGCAATAACGAATTACTATCTCGGTAACCTTCTCCCAGCTCAATGAAGCGAAGCGCACAGCCTCCAAGATATCCAACTTTCTGTCGATTTTGGTGTGGGTTGCATCCAGGAGCCATCGAAAAAATCTCTTTCAACACCGCGCTTCAAATGACCGAGAAATTCCTATTAGAAAAAAACACATGAGAAATTGCTGGTCAAGAGACCATCCATACAAACTTACGTGAGTCGAGCGGTTGCAAATGTGCTGTCATTTTTGCGGCAGAAATGCCAGCTTGACATTGTAGCAGTCAGGGGCGACATAGTGACACGACACGTTGTCCAGCAGGAGAAGCACTTGACTCCCGTGTATCTTGGCATCGAAATGCCGGAGCTACTCAGCAAACGTTGACCTGTTTTGCGACGCAGTCTGGTTGTTGAAGTACAAAGCTCCATTGGCTTGGTGTTGGATTTGCGACATGCTTGTGGTTGCTTCGACTTGCCTATGACAACGAGTTCTATCTTCTCGGTACCGGTCATGTTTCAGCACATTGCGACTATGATACGATACTTTTCTGACTTCTTTCCGTTGCGCTTGACCGTTGCCAGTGTCTTAATTGGAGGTAGGCGATGGGAGAGATCTTATTCGTCAAAATTGATAAAACCTCGTGGTGGACATTGGCCAATCAGCTCTTTAAGCTCCATTCGATTCACTCCAGATGAGCGCAATCAACTGAGTATGCCTTGTCGCGAAGCACATGCTGCTGGATGCCATGTCGAACTTTAAATTAGTGCATCCACCTATTCGAAAGCCGCAAGTAGTTCGAGTTTAGCCGTTGAGAGGCTCGGATTGACCGACCTTTATCTAGTAGTGGCCCGTCTGTGATATTTCTTTGACGTCATTGAGACGATGCTTTGCGAGTAACGCAGCTTCAAACGCTGTCATCAGCACCTCTCAATTGCGCTTCCTGTCCGTAGCAAGGAACGCGTTGTCTGGCGACTGTCGAATCCGTTCTGCTGCCAATGTTGAGATCCGAAGCCGAGCCTCTCTCCGACCGAGTCTTGTATTTGAGCCAACTTGATGCCTAGTGTGCGTGTGATGTACACCTGCACCTGACGATTTTGCTACATCGTAAGAATTTTTCGCTTTGTCAACATGGTTTAGATGGAACGGAAGCAAATGTGCAACATGGCAGTCAATGCAAGACTGTGGCTAGTGGAATTGAGAGGGGAAACCGGTGGTTGGTACGCGCTGCTTTGTACCCTGTTTCTAGATTCTCCTATAAAGAGCCACCATACACAATTCAAGTGACCCAGCTTGGTGCGGGACATGGAGCTCCTCAAACAGGTTCTTACCCTCAATAAGGGTTGGTATATGAAGGGAAGACTGTATAGGAAGAACCTTTTGGACCAGAACTCTCTTGTTACATAACAATTTTACTGTTTAAGTACAGCAGATCTGTGCTACGCTCAGAACCTCGTGAACAGTAGTTATAGGAGAGTTAGGTATACGGAAATATAGTGGAATAGTTACCCTTAGCCAGCCAAAATTTTGTATATCAGCCCTTTCACACTAAATGTGACACACTATCTATATCTGTCTGAGATCGAGAAAAGCAAAAATTGATCCATGGTTGCATATCCCGGTAACATCTCTAAAATTGGTACCGTTGAATGACGTATAACATTCTCTGCTCGAAAAATACCGATGTCATCAATGTAAGGGGCGAGTCAGTTCCTCGATATTGGCGCTAAAAATGGGTCAATGAGAACACTATCGCGATTGATATATATATTATAGCATTGACCTTACTGAATAACACACTGACATTGTATTATTGGTGAAGGTACTATTCGGTACTGCTCCTTTCATGTATTGATGTAGGATATTAAATAACGACTAATTCTACTAGGGGCGGTAGTATTGCCTTGTCTTTCTAAGTTTTCATCCAAATAACATTGTCATTCAGAAATGGACGATCATCCGCATGATATTGGCAGTAGATGAAGGGTGAAGTGGCGATACTCCCAGAAGGAGGGGGGATTAAAGTACGCAACCAAACATGCCGCGTAGAACATGGATAGGGTCAATCTATAAAACATTGTGTGAAGCGAGGATATGCGTAAATTGACGGATGTGGCCCACTCCGCACCCCTCGGTACGCAAGACGGCGACAATCTGGTCGAGACCGAAATCCGGTATAGCATATTGACGAAGGATGTAACAGAGATTCGCATCAAAAGCGGTATCAATCTTGAACACATGTTATTTCCGCGAGTTACGGTGACGCTGCTCGAAGATGATGTCATTGCGCTGCATCCAAAGCAGATGGAGGAAACACAAGCCAAGCCTCTTACTAGACTCCAACATCAATGCCACATGAAGTATCCAGAAATATGGTGGCTGGGTGGACGATATGAGTCCCTGCCACTGGAGTGGTGATCAAAGGAATGTAGTTGCGGCTAATTAAGGATCAATGAACGGTTTATGGGGCACAATCAAAGAAAAGGAGTGATTCCGTTTCAGGAGAGCGGCATATTAGACTTCTAAAACGCACTGCATCACGCCCCGTAGTCTACTTTGCATAAAGGGTAATCGGAAACCAGCGGGTGCCAGGTGGAACATACGCCTGCTTCGGGTTCTAATAGGTCAGCAACAGGTTTTCTGAGTTTTCACATTCAAAGTCGACAACTTTCGTAATTTCATCTGCATTTTGTCGAGTCCAAAATACTTACAAGAGGGTGAGGAATCCGCCCTGTTACATGTGCAAATATGACAATTACACGCAACATCTGCGCCGGAATATAGGGAGCGCGTTAAAGGCGTTTACCACGACAATGACAACAGCGAAAGAAGGCTACATGCCGCGTTTAGAACATACAGATGTCCCGCCCTCAGCAGGTTCCGTCACTCCAAATTAAATTTGATTTAATATATCATATTATACCATCAGCTACTTTATCTAGCGTTTTCCCGAAAGCTTTCCTCCAGACGGCTAAGCAAGAAGGTCTTCAGAGTCGGCGAGTGATGGAAAGGCTACCGATGGAGGCGAGCTACCGAGTGTAACGAAGATACAATGCTCCTTAAGTCAGAGGAATACTTAACGCTTTACGGGCAACTTTGGTTTAAAGAACTCGACTAAAAAAATCAACAAGCACAGAGAGATTACGGTCGCTAATCCAGGGGACTAAAAGCTTCAGAGAATCACAGCAAAGACTTCTCTCAGAGTATCTAACTTTTGAAAGGCGTTGCTAGACTCTTACCGATCCAAGATGCATCAGGAAGACACGTGTTCAACAGATCAGAATGGGAACTGAGCTTTATTTTTCCTCTTATCGAAAGAACACCTCAGACGAAGGTACTTCATCCAGACACTAATGTTATAATTCATACCTTTTGAATATCACGTAACTCAGTGGCTGACACATGTCATCCCCCAACAACTGATTTGGTGTTCTAATATCGTTTTTAATGGGACTTCGTCTTGTGTATACCACACCCGTTCTGTAACCCCATTACATCGAGGGGGGCAAGAATTGTACAAATGGAGAAGGCTGTGCTTTTACGCAGCAAAAGCCGATAGCGGCGGTAGGGCCCAAAGATGTGGTAAAGATGCGATTACGGATAGCAGACGCGGGTGACACTCAAAGCAGTACATCGCAGGAAAACCACATATTTTGGGGTTATACATGAAAAGATCTGATGACCTTGGGCAGTCCGCGAGTATGGACAAATTTAGAATGCCATCCAGATTAAACACTAGCCACCAAAGTGGGAGTAATGGCACGTGTGCGATGAAACAGTTCCGATGATACGGCGCATAAAATTCGGGGGGGGGGTAAAGAGAACAATAATGTAGCGAAGCGCAAGAAAGTAGAATGGCCGCTGGGGTGTAAACGCTCAAGTCTTGAGGAGATTCCCACTGATAAGACTAAAGGTCGATTGATTTAGACACGCTACCGTCGAAGAATCACAGTCGTCTGGGGATTTCGTAATCCCCCTGAAGTGTTAATCAATAGGCAAATATACATGAAGTAAGGCTTACTGGCATCTCATCAAGATCCATTCATCGATAAAGCGCAGAATATTACAGCAATCGATGCCAGTGATAGACCGCCATCTCAGCAACTTCGATTTGTGGCATGAAGTACCGCGAGGTTGAGAAGACGGTGTAACTGCAAAGGATCAAACGCCATATTTAGATTGCGAGCGCGATAC